GAATAGAGGCCTGGTGCATGGGTGGGGCTGGCTGGTTTGCCCTTAAGGGTGTCCTGGATCAGGGTGGGGGTCCCCACTGGGGTGCCTGGCCAGTCTGGGTGAGGGGCTGAGGGCTGTTTTCAGGCTGGGACTGAAGTTCCCAACTGCTCCTTTTTTTCTTTTTTCTTTTTTTATTCTGGGCCAGCTTTAGCTCTGGCTCCAGCTCTGAGGCCTCTGCTGCTGAAAGAAGGTATCTGGTTTGTTTGGGTTCTATAATCGAAACACTGTTTCAACTCCAGCTCTGAGATCCCGGCTCGCTGAAAGCAGGTTTCTGGGGTTTTGTTTAGCTTCTATATTTGTTACAATGTTTCTTAAACTGCAAGCTCAGAGTCTGGCAAGGCAGGCGGGGAACGTTGGAGTCCTCCGTCACTGAAGCAAGCAAGCCTCATGTTAGTTTCAAGCTGCCTGGCTGCCGGCCGCCATCTTGGCTGGCAGTTAATTTGCATATCTCACTGATTAGCCAATGGGAAGGGTAGCGATCGTACACCAATTACCATGTTTCTCTTTTATTAGATAGGATTCTTTTATGCTATTTTCTAGAGGCCCAGTGCACAAAATTTGTGCACAGGTGGGGAGGGGGGTCTCTTAGCCTGGCCTGCATCCTCTCACAATCGGGGATCCCTGGGGGGATGTCAGGCCTAAACCAACAGTTGGACATCCCTCTCGCAATCTGGGATGCTGCATGCACCAATGACCATAATTCTCATACAGGTGAAAGGCATCTTGCTGTTGTATGGGCAGCTACATTTTTTTCCCCTGATTATAAAAAGTAGTACATAACATGATCCTTCTGAGGCAGTAGTACTATTTTCCCCATCTTATGGGTGGAAAAACTGAAGCAGAGAGAAGTTAAGTAATTGGCTTTGTCATACAGTTATAAGTGTCAGAATCAGGGCTAACCACTAAATGTGCAAGCCAGAGTCCATGCATGTCATCTCTGCATCATCCTGTTTTTTCAGTGTTAGAGTAGCCTTGCCAGGTTTTATTTTTTAAATCTAAGAGACTCTTCCGAATATATAGGGTAGGGTCCCTAGGCCTGGCCAGCGATCAGCGCCATCTTTGGGGCAACCAGTGGTTGGGATGACCGGGGGCCCCCCGCTAGCACCTGCCTTGGCTGATGGCCTGGCACTGCCTGCTTCCCGGCCTTGCCCCCCTATCACCACTGCTGGTCGCCTCCCTCTAGGGGCAGGAGGGGCAGATGCTAAACGCAGGAGCTGCCCTAGGGGCAGCTCCTGCGTTTAGCATCTGCCCCCTGGTGGTCAGTGCACGTTATAGCAACCAGTCGTTCCTCCGGTAATTCCACTGTTAGGTCGATTTGCATATTATGGTTTTATTATATAGGATTGTTTATATATACTTTAAGTTTTTCATTGAATCTGTAATTTATTTCTTTGTTTTTATTTGGAAGGTTGTTATATATTTCTTCTAGTGGTACCTTTATAATCATAGGCTCATATAATTCTTCTAGCTCTTTATTTTTCTAAGACAGTAACAATTAGATCCATGCTTAGTGACAATAAAATGAATGTTTCTCCATTACCCAATCCCTCTTCCTTTACACAGTTTATTCAAGAACATTATCTTTCTTTGTGCTGACTTTTATTTTAAATTTGCTTATGTTGTTATTTTGTTTATCATGAATAGAGCTTCTCCCTTACCCTACCAGTTTTTGTTAATTAAACAAAACGTGGCATATACTTTCTATTTTGTCATCTTAAACCCCACATTATTTGAGTCTCACTTCTACATTTAAATATATTCTGTGCTCAGCACCAAATCTTCTTCCAAATTTTTCTCAGTCATTTCTCAGTTTGTTTTGCTGTAATTTCCTAAAAAAATACTCTTAGGAGCAATAGTCTCTGAATTCTCTGCATGTTGAAACTATTTGTCATTTTCAGATTTAAAGCGTAGCTTGGATGCATGTTTATAATATCCATACCTCACATATTCTTTCCTTGATTTTTTTGTTGGTATTGCTCTACTATCTTCTGGTATTGATCATTGCCATGAAGATATCTAATGCAATATAAATTTCTCTCCTTTTAAGTGACTTGATCATTTTGTCTGGCCGCCAAATGATTCTGTCTTTATCTTTAAAGTCTAATAACTTTAGTAGACTATGCCTTGGTTTTGACTAATCAGAGTCTATTTTTCCTGGTACACAGTACAGTCAGCCCTTTGTATCGGTGGCTTTTGCATCTGCAGATTCAACCAACTACATATTGAAAATAATAGAAAAAGAAGGTTGTTGCCAACATGTACTATGTACTATGTACTATGTAGTCAGGCCTTGATGCTTGAGTCTATATTGAACATGAGCAGACTTTTTTCCTTGTCATCATTCCCTGAACAATTTAGCATATCAACTAGTCGTATAGCATTTCATTGTAGTGGTATTATAAGCAATCTAGAGGTGATTTAAGTACACAGGAGGATGTATGTAGGTTATGTGCAAATACAATGCCATTTTACATAAAGGACTTGAGCACGGCTCCTGGATCCAGTCTCTGATTAGTAAAAGGATGAATGTATGTTCCCTCTATGTACATAAAGTAGATGCTTATATGAGGAAAGTCTTATTACATGATAACTTTAAATATTTGTTCAGCTTTGGTTTTCTTTCTTAAGGACTCACCCGACTTATGTGTTTGTTTTTCAATATCTGCCATTTTCTTCTCTAATTTGTTCTCTTCAATTTTCATCTTGTATTTGTTTTTCTCATTTGTATATTTCACGTTCCCCACTATGCCTATTCTCACTTATGCCATTTTTTCCCTATATTTTCTTGAGCCCTGACAGCTCACATTTCACCACTTCCTGTTGAATCTTTGTTTCTTTCATTTCTGCTCCGTGACCTTCCTTTATAGAAGCAAGTGCTTTTTCAAGTTTTAAAATTTAACTTGTGACATCTTCTCAGTAACAATATTTATCTATCCAGTGTATCAGTCCATGTATTTGATGAGCTTTGCTGCTCTTTCCAAATGTTTGGTTTTTAATTTTGCTTATAATACCTTTGTGTCCATGGTATGCTGATTATTTTTTTTTTCATTTTCTCTTTTAATGAATTAGCTTAATGAGTTGGCTTTTCTTAAACTTGAAATTTGTAGGGGCCCCTGAGTGATATGTGCTTGTGATCTGTGATTAGTGTGGCCTTTGGGTCTTACAACCCACAGGGGCAGACTGTTTTTAGCAAAAATGGCTCATAGGTGTGATTCTTATGTGTGAGCCATTTTTTGCTAAAAGCAGTCTGCTTTTGTATCCAGCCTTATTCACCTCTGTGCACATCTCAGCGGTTCTCAACCTATGGGTTGCGACCCCTGAAAATACATCCTGCATATCAGATATTTACATAACGATTCATAACAGTAGCAAAATTACAGTTATGAAGTAGCAATGAAAATAATTTTATGGTTGGGGGTCACCACAACATGAGGAACTGTATTAAAGGGTCGCAGCATTAGGAAGGTTGAGAACCATACTATAAATGAAAGATAAAGCATTTGTACTGCAGGGTAAGCCTTTACTATGTTTTTGCTAGTGCTTTCTGAGATGCTAATGTACTTACATGCTCCATTCTCATCACTCTTATCGTGTCTAACACTGCCCAATCCAGTATCTGGCAGCCCTTCTTCATATTGTATAGGCTGCAGGTTACATCTATCTTTGGGTTTTGCAGAATGCGGAATTTATTTGCAGAGTTATTTTCCCTCATTTTCCTGGTTGTTCTTGCATAATATTAAAGAGAAAAGGGGGAAATGTATTGAATTACATTGTTATGTTTGTATGGGAAGTACTGAGTTTTGGTCTCTTTTCAATTTAGATACATAAAAATGCTGCTATACTGTGAAGTTGCTCAGTGTTTACATAGTTTCATTCAAATTCCTTGGCTTGGCATTTAAAGTATTCCTCAGTCTAGCTCCAGCCTCATTCTACTTTCATCTCCTTCATATTCTTTATGCTTTTGCTAAATCGTATTGAATTATTTAGAGTTACCTGAATAGTCGTTCTTGTTTCTCCATACTTTGATTCAATGTGTTCCCTCCAGTTGACATTTCCTTTCCACCTTGGTAACCCTTCCTCATCTCCATGGTTCTTATTATCACTTAATATCCTATCTGGACTTCAAGTTCCCCTGAATTAGCATCTAATTCTTAAAGCTTTGCCTCTGGTTTCTGCATATTTTTATAATCTCTTTATATGCGTAACCACACTTTCCATAGTTTGGATCCTCTTAGAATTGTCTTCTACTGTATACGTTAATTTGGTTATTTGAGTACTGTTCCTACTTTCTGCCAGTTGGAAGAAAACCTATGGCTTAGTTATGTTTGTGCCCCATTTACGCCTGAGCACAGAACATTGTGCATAATATACATTCAATAAACATTTGCTGAAATGATAAAGTTAAGAAAAGGCCAAAATTAGTTTTTTGAATGCATGGCACAATTTCCTCCTACTTCTCGCTGATGCACAATATTACCACTCATGGGGATAATTTGGCTTTTTTTTTTTTTTCTGAAGCCACAGAAAAAAAGCATCTTATAAGAATATGATTGCAGATGTACTTGTTTAGTCATCCAGGCAGTCAAACTGTGTTTTGATTATTTTAATTGTTTTATTTTAATACAGAATAATTTGTCCCTGGCTTTTTATGAGTCCTTGATAGCTGTTAAGTATATTAAAAAAACAAAAATGGAGAACTATCTTCTGTAATCTTCTACTGTTAGATGGTGGATCTCTATCATGATATAAATATATTATAACCAATTCTGTTAAAATTTATCTTTTAAATTAAAAAAGGAATAGCAGAAGCTTAACAGAAAATTTCCCCATAAAACTCTAGGCTTTAGAAACATACAACTTTTTAAGTAAAGTGAAACTTGAATATTTACTCCCCACTATTTCATTTAATTGGGCTCCTTTTCAAATATAATTTACATATCATTTCTTCACCATTTTTTTAGCTTTGAAAGCTGTATTTGTTGAGAAAAACCTGTTTCCCAAAGACTTTCTGGATCGTGAAAGAAGAGCCAAGCAATTATGTCAAGAAACAAGTAGTGAAGTGAATATAAAAAGAAATAAGAAGCAATTATAACTGAAAGAAAAATAAATATTTCATTGACACATGAAATATGTGTATGAAATGCAGAAAATAAATTTTAAAAATGCCATCTTTTTTGCTTTATATTTCAACTTCAGAAAGTTTTGTTTTCAGACAATATTCTTACCCACTACTTTTGACTTTCTCTCTATTTCCAATAAAACAAAGATTGGACTCAGAGGGGATGGTATCAATTGGTACTACCTATTCTCAAGTGTTTTTATATAAAAAATGTACAATTTCAGAACAAAGCATTCTGACCTTTGGTTGCTTCTATAGACAAATGTTTTGGTCATTTTTCTTTTCGAAAGCCTCATTCAAATTAAACATGAAAAATACTGACACAGTGAATAGCTATAAACTTAACTAAGAAAACTATGCCCACTTATTTATACTTTCTAGTTTTGTGTGTGAGTTTTTTAAATGATACTGATAATGAAATAAGACCTTGTCAGTAGCAGCTGTTCTATTAATTATTATTGATTTATATTCACTCTTATATGAAGTTATTGAGAAATTACTGCAGAAGTTCTACTTCTACTCTAAAAGTGAGTAGCATAGTACAGACAAAGTGGTATAGCCTCAAGAAAAGAAGGGTTCTGAGGTTATATAAAGAACTCACTCTGTATGGAAGGTCAAGTAGACAATATTTGGTTCTGAAACACAATGCCTTACCTTTTTGATCTATTTTTCTTTATAAATAGCATCTTCCATCAGGAAAACAATATTCTTTTTTTTTTAATCCTTACCCAAGGATATGTTTCTATTGATTTCAGAGAGAGAAAGGGAAAGGGAGAGAGAGAGAGAGAGAGAGAGAGAGAGAGAGAGAGAGAGAGAGAGAGAGAGAGAGGAGAGAGAGAGAGAGACATCAGTGTGAGAGAGAAACATTTATTGGTTGCCTCCTTTATGTACCCCAACCCAGTAAATGCCCTGACCAGGAGTGGAACCCATGACCCTTCAGTGCCATGGGACAATGCTTCTACCAACTGAACCACATGGCCAGGGCAGGCAACCAATATTCTTATGCTGCTTTATTTATTCTGTCCTGTAAGAATAATTAATAAATTCTTTCACACAACATTACTATATATTTGTATTTTAAAGTGTCTTTCCAAAATATTTGAATTTTAAGAAGACTTTTGCAATAACACACAAAAATAAAGGAAATAACTAACAACATGTAGGGGCCTACTCTGTCCAGTAACTGCAAAAATTTATTGTGTTTAAACCCCACAATAATTATATGAAATATATCTATTTTAACGTTATTATCTGAGAGTTGTATTCATTAAAAGAGTGCCCAATTATTGATGGTGAGTTGGGATTGGAGCCCAAATCCGTTTTACTCTAGAGACCATAGTTTTTGACCTTCATCATTCTGTTTACTCACCTCTCATTACTTAGAAAGTCATGAAATTAACTCTAACAGAATTTCCAGCATCAGTGGAGCAAGTTTTAATTTGGTGGAGAGGATGGCAGAGGAAAGGTTTTTAGAAGACAGTTGTCTATTCCATCTATAATTAATTGCATCCTGAGTCAGGCATTGTGACTTTTGTGTAAGTTGCTCTCCTTCTCATTAAGCAACAGTCACATATAAGGAAAATATAGGAGCATAATACATGTGAAAGAATTGTGATGAATGTCTTCAGAGTGCTTAAGGCCATAGAAAGCATATTAAGAGGAACAACAATTGGGGGGGTCTAGTTTAAGAAAGAGTATTCATGGGAGATACAAGCTATCCTCAAAGATTTCAAAGCTGTAGTGCACAGAAGAAGTAGAACTAATGCGCATAATTCTAAGAAGGCAGATTCTAGAATTGCTTCCTAATACCTGTTAAAACCTGAAAAATTTTCTCATTCTCTTCCCATTGACACTTCCCATCTTGGTGCAGAGTAGCTGGCAGCAGGCACACTGGATGGCTGTAAAAGGAAGGAGAAGCTTAGAGAAGACCCACCGGATAATATGCTTACTGGAGCCAAGAGTGTGGAAGGGGTCAAAGGGAGGGGGGGGGGGATGAAGGGTGTGAGGGCTGAGGGGGTGAGTGGAGGAGATGACCAGCATGGTTGGAAGAGTAATTACATTGAGCAAATGAGAACTGAATAAATAAATGAATAAAATTAGTAAATATATTGAGGATAATGAGCGCTAGATATCACACTGTTGTAGAAAGTAATCGCAAAACGTGAAAGGAGGAAAACTAGAAAGAACTCTGAGATTTTGAATCGGGATTAGAGGTTTCAGATATCAGTGTGAATTCATAGTTTTAGACAGATAGATAAACAATAAAATGGAATATTTAGGAGTGATAGAAAGTTATGTTTGTAGCTTGCTCTCAAATGGTTAAAAATATAAATTATAATGTGTATATGTATATATTTATACACATACACTCAACACACCGCATATATGTATCCACATACAAACATATTATAAAGATAGGTGGATGGGTAGATAAAAATTAGTTATATAGATAGAGTACACATGTGGTGAATTGTCAATTGGGGAAACTGAGAGAGAAGTGTGGGAGATAGTAGTTCTTTGTATTATATCAGCACTTTCCTGTTAACTTAAAAGTATTTCAATGTAAATTATTTTTTGAAAATGAAAATGCTGCCTTGGGACAGAGGATTCTTTGAGATGTTCAGAAAGAGGCTGAATAACACACACAGGCATATTGCAGAGAATTCTTCCACTGGTTGGGAGATTTGATCAGACAATTCATCATTTCAAATTTTGAGCATATGATTTATGAGTCATATATTGCTGACAATATAGTGGAGTAAAGATTGAAACACATTTCCAGAAATTTAAAGGAATATTGAGATGTTAAGGACATGTAATACGGGTACCAATTAGTTTGCAAAGACTCATTTCCCCTTCCATCCATCCATCCATCCATCCATCCATCCAATCCATCCATCCATCCATCCATCCATCCAATTATTGAAGGCATATGCAAGGAACTGTTTTAGATGCCAGGTATACACAAATAAATAGAACCATCTTCTCCTGCCATCATCTTTCTGAAGTGAAAGCACATAAAATGTCATGGTCTATTAAACAATGGTTGAATGAGCCCCTTAGTTTTTCTAGAATAATTTAGAAATTATTTTACTAGACATATTTTACTTTCTCTACCCCTAGAGAATACTTTGTTTGAAGTTATTAGTCTGAAATTGTGTGGTTGATATAGATAGATCTCTCTATAGCCGATTGCATGTGCAAAGCACCAAGCTGTGTGTATCTCTAAACCCCAATTTGGTGCTTTTTGTATGAAAAGAATGAAGAGGAGCTGTCTCACAAGTATATTTAATGAGAAAAGAGTTTTGAAAAGTATGAAAGTATCTTTTAATGTTACTGTTTCTAATACTTAAAAACAAAACATACACAAAAAGAAAAAGCAACGACAACATTTAATTATGTCTTACTCTTTTACAGCTTACAGCATCTAGCTATGTTAAGCTGGTAGCAGGGTCTCACTTATCAAATGTTAAAAGAACTGAAGACTTTATATGCTATTTCTGAAATTAACATTTAGGTTTAATTATTTAAGACTAATTTTTCTACAGTGAAAAGAACTTGTCACATTAAAATAGGATGTGCCAACCCTGGCTCGGGTGGCTCAATTGGTGGAGCATCCTCCTGTGCATTGAAGGGCTGCAGGCTAGATTCTCTGTCGGGCACAGGATTCCCCAATCAGGACACATACGGTGGGGAGGCAACCTTTCAATGTTTCTCTCTCTCTTTCTCTCTCTCTCTCTCTCTCTCTCTCTCTCTCTCTCTCTCTCTCTCTCATTGCCTTCCTCTTTCTAAAATCAATAAAAAGAGTCCCATACTTTTCAGTAGGCTATTTTGTTTGTTATATAAAGATTTACACTAAATATAATTTAACCTGTTATCTTTTCAGAACATTTTCCTCTTATCACACAAAATATACATAGAGCGAACTGGCAGAGGGAAAAAATACCTGAAATTAATCAATGAAAAAATTAACTTTTAAGTCCTTTATTTATTAATCAAAACACTTGATTGTGTTTTTTTTTAAAGTTTGGAATTAAATACATGTTTACTTAAAAAAACTACAAAATGCTACTAAATGCTAATTAGAAGGATAATGAGATTGAACCTGTAACCCCTTCCTATTATTTTTCCCCCAATGCTCTAGGTGCAAAATTGAGTTACAGAAGAAACAGATTTATAAAAATATTTAAAGGTTTGCAGTAATATTTTAAGGACAATTGTGGTATCTTTATTGTCTTATTAAAAAAGCTTAAACCAGGGAGGAGAAATTCATGGCCGCTGCTTTTTACTCCCTAAAAGAAAGGAAAATGGACAGTCTGCTTGAACTGCTCTAACATAAGGTCCTTACAGAACAACTTCATTAAATGATCTTACTAAGACTGAGTGTCTGTCTCTGTCATTGGAAGGAAAAATAATGGCCTGTTCCTGGGCAAGTCACATTATGACCTGAACACTGTAGACACAATAATTTGGTAACCAAGTGTACTTGTGATGGATGTTTGCTGGTGTCACTGCACGGGTAGAAAAGCACTGATTGAATGATAGTCTTAGACATTCGGATTTATTATTTATGAATTGCAGAGTAGAACAGAAGAATGATTGTGTTCTTATGTTGCATAACTGTGATTTTGGAAAACAACCTCTAACAGTGTTATATTAAAAGCTGCAAATGAGCTTGCTTACATCAGAGTAAGTGATATTAGAGAGCAACCCAACATTTAGAAAACATTCTGAGATGCTTAGATGGGCAAGTAAACATTTTAGTAAATTAAATACTATGACTGACATCGGTCATCAGGCTTCTCAAGCCTGATATTAAGCTATAGCCCCAGGACACTGAAAGATGTTAAAGGGATCCTTGAAAAAGCTTTTTTTACAAAAAATCCTTTAAAGGCATATACATTCATTTTACTTACTTTTCATAGCTTTATCAGAAGTAATATTACATTTAGTAATCAATAGTAAACATTTGT